GTCATCTGCAAACTTACTGAGGGAGCACTGATGAAGATAGCCTGTAAATATTCTTTATTATATTATTGCTGTTTGAAAGAGGTGCTTCCCTCTTCTAGGTTCTTTTCCTTCTGTTTATTTTGCTTAGGTAAAATAAAATACTTTATTTTCTTAAAAAATACTTATTAATTGAAGGTAAATAGATATTGATCAGAGTTTAAAACAATTGAATTTAAATTCTCTTCCTCATTTAATGGTTCTGTTTTCACAGTTTTCAGGCATCTTTGTTTCTTTAACTAGCTCTTTACTGTACAGGCAATATTCCAGGACAGACAAGATCTGCATTTCAAATATCAAATCTCACGTGTTAAGTTGTACTCTGAGACATCTAAGAAACATGCAATTTTTTCTTCAATGCCCAGCTTTGAAAGGCATGTGCTAAAAAACTTTTATGGATGAGTCTCTCATCTTCTTCTCACTTTGAGAAGTGCTCCAAAATGCATTTTTTTAAGCAGATGGCTATTTTGAAGGCAGTATTTAAACAGAAACAGTATAGGTCAATTTAGGTGAATTCATGCACAATATCAAATTCTTTCTACAAATGGTCGTCCTCTCATTTTTGGAGAGTATGAGTCATGAACTGAGACTATAATGGATGTAAAAGTGGAACTACTTAATTTCTTAATTAAGTTCACAGATGTGTGTGAATTTTTGGGGTGCTGAGAACAGATGACACTAGCTCACAGTGCACATGAAGGACTGAAGGTGAGCTGAGGATGAAGATAATCCAAGTTTTGGCAAAGATGCTTTCACTCTGGGAAGTTTGCAGCTGTCATTCCATGTCCCTTAAGCTTTTTGTGGAATGTTTATTTTTGTAAATGTTCAATAACTGATATGTCTTTTCTTCAGTTCCAGCTTAGATTCATCAGTATGATTTAAAGATGTCTTTTTCAGTTACAGGACTTAAGTATTAATATAGATTTCCTTTCAGAAGTTAATCATCATCATACCATTAACACTACTTTTGTGTATAATTCATGTCTCCCCCAAAGAATAAACAAAATCCAAATTTGCCAGAATCTTCATATAATGATTATACTTTTTCTGATATTTCTTTATTCTAGAATCCTTGGATGAGCTGACGTGCTTAGTGGTAAAGTTATTTTCAGAAGTAGAGAATAAAAATGTCCCTATACCAGAGTTTCCTGAACATCCTTTCCAAGAAGAACATCTCCGGGTATGTATAGAGGTATAGCTTCAATCAGGAGTGTATACCTTAAAAGATATTCTTTGTGTCTCAGTAATACATTGTGCACTTGACTACTTTTGTATCAATGTCCCTGTTAAGATCCATATTTCTTTCTTAATTTTCCATCCTCCTTTCCACGCTGAGTGTATTTTGTATGGTTTGTAGTAAGGGTTGTACATTTAGTTGCAGCTGTGAGCAATTGAGAGAATTAATCTTCTGTTTGCATCATCAATGGCTGAAGTGTTGCCCAAAGTTTTACATACCTTCTGAGATTTTGTTGATGTGTTTGTAATAAAATGTATGTTAAGGGACTATGATATGTGCTCCTGAGATGAATAAAATAATGAGAGTTTCCTTTTGTTTATGGATCTCCTTGTTTATTTTCTCCCTCAGCAACTTTACAAAGTGGTACCTATTAAGGACATTAGAAATCTTTATGTCACATTTCCTATACCAGACCTTCAGAAGTACTATAAATCAAACCCTGGCCATTACCTTGGTCATCTGATTGGGCATGAAGGCCCAGGGAGTCTTTTATCAGAGCTTAAAGCCAAAGGTAAGTCCTTGAAGGTAAAGAATTAAAAAGTAATTTAATATACAGTTTTTTAAAGCTTAGCTATGTTTCACTTAAAATTGACCTTTGTATGTTAGATTTAAAACCTCCAACTGTTTGAGTAATTTGAATTGTAAGTCGTTTTTTGCTTTATTTTTGTTCCTGTGGTGGGTAAAAATAAATAACAGGCACTGACTACTGAAGCTATTATTTTTTGCACTCCCCTTTATCTACCCCTGTTTAGAGAGTTACATGAACTTTGATGTAATGATCTTGTCTCTATTCTGTCACTGACTTACAGACTACTGTTAGGTCCCTTAATGTTTGGAAGACTATAGGAGGGTATCTTTTGCTATTTTTCTTTATACTACTGTGTTCCAAACAGAAATAAAGTACCCAGAAATCAGATGATGTTGAGTTTGTCATATCACTCTGAGCACAAACTCAGGTAGGTGTGACTTGTGTTATGTTTAATGTGCACTGTTGCTATAGGTGTTAAGGAAGAGGAGAACATGTAGTCAAAATGTTAAAAAAAGCCCACAACAACCTCCCTCACCTCCCACCCTCCCAAAAAAACCCAACACCAAAACAAACTTCAATGTTGCTGAGGCATACAAAAAGTAGCATATATTGTTACATATTTGTCTTTGTAATATATTTTCTCTTTGCTTTCATAGGATGGGTAAATACTCTTGTTGGAGGACAGAAGGAAGGTGCTAGAGGTTTCATGTTTTTCATCATTAATGTGGACTTGACAGAGGAAGGACTTTGTAAGTGAAGTGCTATGTCTGCATTCCATGTTATTCCTGACCTGATGGGTTTGTGTTTGTATCCAAAGAGACTAACTGTGTTTATAGCTTGAAAGCAAATTTTTATTAATTAAAATGGTTATTCTTCTGTCTTTAGATCCGTTCAGTATGCTAACACACTTCATCTGACATAAGGAATTGACTTATTTGAGGCTGTATTAAATTAAAATATTTCAGTAAATATTTAAAAGAAACTTCTTTAAAAAAGAAGCAGTTAATACCTTTGTGTGCTACTTATTCATACTATTTAGACCCAAGTTAAATTGTATCATAAATCAACACCTTAACATAAGACTGTTCAATGCAGTTCTCAGGATTAGCTGGGGACATAAACACTTCTCTTAAATTCATGTCTGAGAAAAACATGTTTAATTTTGCCAGTGGGATTGCATATGTACTTAAATATCTTGATGTGTCAGGGTGTAATTAAAAATAAAGCCATACATATTTGTATTCATCAGATTTTTTTTCTTCGTGCAGAACTGAGTGAATTAAGCAAGTATTTTTTTTTCTTTCCAGTGCACGTTGAAGATATTATTTTGCACATGTTTCAATATATTCAAAAACTACGTACAGAAGGACCTCAAGAATGGGTTTTCCAAGAGTGCAAGGTACAGTGATTGGTACTTGAAATATGCAGTGGTTGTATTTTTACAAATTTTTGGATTATAAGTAGAAACAGATTCCTTGGCTGTGGAAATAGCGTTTAATAACTGCATGGTAATTAAGTTTATTAATTTTAAGGGTGCAACATGACACAAATGACAAGTACAATCAGAATATATTGTCTTAATGAAGATGTGAAATGGTCTTTTAGAGCTATGAGTTGACATTTTATGCTAGCATAATGAGGTGGAGGAAGAAGTATCTTACGCTGTCTGCAAGGATTTTGCATAACCTTCCTTAGCCTTCACTGAAGGTGGAGGGGAGGAAGCATTTGCTATGAGGGGTAACATTGAATTGGAAATTGAAGTGGCTGTTATTCTATCCCTATTCTTTCGTGTGTCAAATTGTATAGCTGAGATTGTAAAGGCAGTAGGATATTTAATCTGCTGTTTGTTCTCTCACCTTTCTGAGAGGTGAGCTAAAACTTTTCATGGAGTACTTTGGCTGCATGCTTCAGTTTTTGCTGAACTGTTCATGCTTCTTACGAGTTTGTATGGTTCTGTGTGCGCAGAGCAAAAATGTAAAGTGTCCTATTAGAATTAAATAGTACTGCACTTCTTGGTGACAGTGTGAGATAAAACCAGTTTTATTTATTGGTTCACTACAAATACTTGGGTAAGGATTTCTTGTTCCATCTTAGCTTTATTTGGTGAAAACTGTTGAGTCTCTTCTGTCTAAGAGTAGAAATTCTGCAGATGTGTTGACTTTGTTTCTTGCATTTTGACACTGTATGCCTGTAAAAGAAATCTCTTTACCCTCTGCTAAAAGTCCCAATGGAATTTGTTCACTGTCATTGTAAGCAAACATAAGATTTGAAAGAAGTAGTTCCATCCTCCCATCTCATCCCTGTGTCTTTCCCTTGCTCCTCTTGTATCAGTCCCAGCACTCCTGAGGCTGTGAGGTGAGTCAGAAGAGCTGACAAACTAGTTCGAAAAGAGTAATCTTTTGAGTTCATTTTCATCTGAATTGTTGAATTAACCAGACTCTGCGTAGTTTCGCAGAAGGATGGACTGTCCCTTTCATGGACTTTATAGTCTTAGACCTTTTCACCCTTGCCATCATATTCTAACAATGACGTGTTTTATTTCTGTGGCTAAGACAGCATAAAGAAACACACCTTTTCTGTCTCTAAACTTACCTTTTGGCTGGCTAAACAAAAGGAACAAAAAAGGAAGAGCTTTAGTTCATTAACATACAATGAACATTGTGCTAGAACACTATGTGTTGTTTGTATCAAAGTTGGTGTGTTTCCAAAGTATTAGGAAATGTAAATCTATGAGGTACAGGACAGATCTCAGTACAAACAGGACTTACAACACTTGTGTAACACTTCACACTGAGACTATCTGAAATTGCTTGTGAGTTTTTTGCAACTTGAATATTATTTGAAACTTTTGTATTAGGTACCTAACTACTACAAAATGGATACAACAAAACTACTTCCTTTTCTTACATTATAAAAAGGAATTAAGTAGCCAATAACTATTCTTAAAATAGTCTTTAATACGTGCTTTTCAACCCTTCCTACGCTGTTTCCTAGGATCTAAATGCTGTGGCATTCAGATTTAAAGATAAAGAACGACCACGAGGTTATACATCAAAGCTTGGAGGAATGTTGCATGTAAGTGTGGTTTTTTTTGTTGTTGTTGTTTGTTTTTTACCATATACTAATCGTTTAGCAGTATGTTTGATTATACTTTTGATAAATACAGGTATTAGCAAAGGTCTTTTGCGTTTCTTGAGCTTAGGAAGCTAATATCATGCTGCATAGATACTGGTTTTGGCAGTCAGTAAGTCACATTTCCTTCACACTCTACCATTTTATACTTCTATACTTGATAGAACTGATTTTACAGTAACTCGAGTTGCTATTTGATCTGTTTCAGTGTTTCTTAAGACATATGTACATTGTCATTCTGTGTCTACCTGATAGCTGAACATTTTCTAGAGAACTATGAGAGAAATAATATTTTGTCATAAACACAAGCACGGTGTTTCTAAATGCTTCCCTAGTTAACAATGTTGAAAATACTGCAGTAAGCAGAATTGTTCGTATTAATATAGCAAATTAGAAATGTTTGACTCTACTAATGTGATTACGTATTGGTACTGAAAGAGTCATCATGTAGCTTATAGTCTTTATACTTCTTGCAAAATTCAGTTCCCTCATTTTACACTAAAGGAAGATCTAAGCTTTTTTTTTTTTTTTGTCTAGTGAAATTCATGCAACTTTTATACATTGCAGCCATTCTCCATTGCACAGCTAATGTCTACATCCACTCAGAGGCATTTTTGGTTTCTTTGCAGGAACTCCTGTTAATGCTTCTACACCCTTAATTTGTAAAGTCTACAATAACAATCTTTAATTTTAGAATTGTCTTTCTGTTTCCTAAAAACCGTTAGACTTACCTGAAAGCATTTAAATGGATATTTAAAGGAGCTCCTATTTGGGATGCTGTCTCTTGCTTTTGTTCTGTCAAATGTATAAAATCTCTTTAACAAATGGACTTTGGACTTCTGAAGCAGTCTTTCAGTGGTCTGTATTTGTTGGATCATTCCTGATTACAATTGCTGTCTCTAAAAATCAGGCCAGGAAGTTGCCAGCAGTGTTCCAAAGCACAGGGTATTGATACAGGACTTTTTTTTTTGCTGCTTTTCTTTTGCTGTGGTTTGCAGTATGAATGGTAATTCTGATTTTGCTATTATTTGCTTAAACACTAGTAGAAAAATAACTTTCCTAGTTCTCTTTATTGCCTCTGAGTCATACTAAGTTTATGCTTTGAATTAACCAAGCTAGAACTGTTGTTTGGTGATTTCATGCACTTTCGGTTACCAGCTGTTTTCGTAACTTGGAGAAGAACCTGTCTGTAAGTTAGCATGAGTAATTGTTAATGTCATAAGTTGTTACGTATTTACCAAAAGGATTTAAAACCCCTTTTAATTCAACAAAACAAAAGTTCATCTTTAAAGTAAATTTGTGCTGGTCTAAGGAGTCACCTAAGGTCTTGCTGTCAAATTATATTTCATATTTGTCATGTATAGGCTTGATGTTTTCCAGGTAGTTGTTATCTGGTTTGCAATGCCCTTTTTCTTTTGTTCCGTTTTGTCTTTTTAATTGTACCCTTTTTAAAATGTCATTTTAATATGATTGTTGTATGTAGATTGTTTTAGTCTGTTTTATTTTAGTTACATTATGCTCTGACTTTGCTGAAAAGTGATCATGGAATCACAAAATGATTGAGGTTGGACTGGACATCTGGAGGTTGTCTCGTCCAATCCTCATGCTCAAGCAATACAAAAATAACAAAGTAATCAAATCCATTTTATGTTAAATTCCAGTTGCTTGTTAGACTGTGGCCTGTGTTTGTAAAGGAAATAGTGTAGGCTTTTGGTCACTAAATCTGTATTGCCTTGGTGATTTCAGATTAGAAGTGCATAGATTACTTAAAATCTCCCCTTCAAGTTGCTTAGTCTGCTTAGCTTTTTATGCAGAATGTAGTTAAATGAGCATTCTTCAGTGTACAACGAATCTTGTGGACAAGACCTTTCAAATTCTGGATCTTTAGCATTAACATTTGAATTTTTTGTGACACAGGTTTGGTTCCCACCCCTGCCCCATCCCTTCCTCTTTTCTAAAATCCTTTGTGTGAGTTACTCAGTGTTCTGGAAGTCATTCGACTTATAGTTTTATGTATAATGTGTGTAATTCAGAAAGCCATTTTATAATAATTCTGGTCAAAGAAAATACACCTGTATGGCAGACTGCAAGTAAACTGGTGCTTAGGTCACGTGGTATTTTTACCTTGGTAAACAGACGTTTCTCAACAAACTTTTCCTGTCAACCACACTAATAATGTTCAGAGGAATTTTAACTGATTTTCCTTCTTAAATTGCCAAGTACCTTAAGAGATTTTCAGTTTGATCCTAAATAAAAAATGTGAAAATTAAAATTGTGTAAACTTCTGTTATGCTTTTAGATAACCCAAATATATTTTCCTTTAAATTACTGTAAATAAAATTTGAATTCTTAGGGAGTCCTAAAAAATTTAATGCGGTTGCTTTGGGGTTTTTTGGGTTTGTTGGTTGTTTTGGGTTTGTTTGCTTTGCTGTGTTTTGTTTTTCCCAAAGGCACTATAGTGCGTGCTTGGTGTTCTTTTATCTTCAGAAATATCCTCCAGGGGTCAGCATTTACCATGTTATTTTTACTTTAGTTACGTCAAAACAGTATTTAAAGGTGGGTGACTTTTTATATTGAGACATAAAATATTTCAAGATAAAAGAATGGTAATATGCAGTATATAAAATTACCTAATATGGGAGAAGTATGATTGCATAGTTAGAGTACTAGTCTATCTTGTTTATTTTTAAGAGAAAGATTTTTAAGACATCTATGCACTTCTAATTTGAAATTACCAAGGTAATACAGATTTAGTGACTGGAAGTATACACTTTTATTCCTTTACAAAACAGTAGGTTTTTTATGCTTAGTTATTGATTAATTAATCTACATGGTTTTGGGCTTTTTTTTTTTTTAGTATTATCCTATAGAAGAAGTATTGGCTGCTGAATATTTGCTTGAAGAATTCAGGCCTGATTTAATAGAGATGGTGCTGGACAAATTGAGACCAGAAAATGTTCGGTAAGTTAAACTGCAATAACTTGTATTTTAACACAAGTATTATAAGAAAGCAGATGAACTAATGGAAACAAAAATTCTTAGGTGTCTCTTACAGCTCCAAAGTAAACGTCACTGAAAAGGAGCTAGTTGTTCAGTGTGTTACTGTTTCTGCTCCCTGTTGAAAATAAGCACACTTAAGTGCTTGCAACTCTTCCTGTTCAGACAGAAACATCCTTTCAGTTATTTCTATGCAGGTTGTCTCCCTCAAACTGAAATAGTTTTTAGGAAGGCACTTACTCAGAATAGCTCAATTGTTACTGAGAAAAAGCCTAGTAAAATTATCCTGCCTCACTATAAATTCCTGGGACATTTTACATAGAATGTTCTAATATTAATAATTTGGAGCTAGGTCTGGAAATCTGTTAAGAGGGTGGTTTTATTTGCTGTATATATTTTATTTTCCCTATAGAGAGCTATAAAACTTCATGCAGATTAGCAGACCCTCTGAAAAATACCAACTTACGTGGGTAAAAATAGCTGTGTCTTTAGCTGCTAAAATTTGTCAGACTTGCAGAGCACCTCTTTGATGTGAGTGTGACCATACTGCACGTGTGCTTTCTTTGCAGAGTGAGTGTGTTGCAGTTACAAATTTCAGGGCTCAGTAATTTGTCAGACTAGATATTGAAAGGAGAGGGGAAGCCTCTCTCTCCTGTGCTTTTGAAGATCTTCAGTTGTCACCCAAGCAGGATAGAAGAGGGAGGCCAAAAGAACAAGTGTACCTAATGTCTATTTGAGTACCTAAAGAACAATAGTGTGACCAGGACGAGGGAAATAATACTTTGATGAGATGATGATTTACAAGTGAAGGAGTCTGGAAGCTGTAGAGAAGAAAATGAGGATGGGTGAAAAAATGGAGTATTAATTGAGGAGGAGGAGGAGGAAGGGCTGGGCAAATGGTTAACAAAATGAGGAAAAGTCTGAGACAAGAGAGCTGGCAAAGGACATCATGAGGGTAATTTAAGGGAGGGTATTGGTAGCTGTGAGGAAATGGTATCTTGGTCAAGGATGGAGAAAGTGGCTGTCTACTGGAACTGCTGGGTATGGTTAAGTGCAGGTTGGACAAAAAAATGAGTGAGGGGTAGCAATTGGGACTAGTAAGCAAAGTGGAGGTAAGAGAGCAAGTCTAGAAGTAAAGATGATGTCAGGCTTAGCAAGGGTATTCAACTGAGAGTCCTGAATCCTGGAAACAGGGCAAAGAGAAGAAGTGGAGAGAAGGCCAAGACAAGGAGCTTGAGCTAGGACAGCAGTAGAATTGATGGGACCAAGCTTGGAGGAACTGAGCAGAAAAGCCTGTGCAGACTAAGTGCTGTGTAGTCTACAAAGGGCAAATGTCGTGGTTTAGCCTCAGCTGGCAGCTAAGCCCCACGCAGCCGCTCACTCACTCCCGCACGGTGGGACGGGGGAGAGAATCAGAAGAGTAAAAGTGAGGAAACGGAAGAGTAAAAGTGAGGAAACTCATGGTTTGAGATAAAGACAGTTTAATAAGTAAAGCAAAAGCCGCGCACGCAAGCAAAGCGAGACAAAGAATTCATTCACTACTCCCCATGGGATGGGCAGGCAGGTGTTCAGCTATTTCCAGGGAAGCAGGGCTCCGTCACTCGTAGTGGTTTCTTGGGAAGACAGACGCCATAACTCCGAACATCCCTCCACCCCTTCCTTCTTCTTTGTCCCAGCTTTATATACTGAGCATGACATTATATGGTATGGAATATCTCTTTGGCCAGCCTGGGTCAGCTGTCCCAGCTGTGTCCCCTCCCAGCTTCCCGTGCACCCCCAGCCTGCTCGCTGCAGGCCAGCATGAGAAGCTGGACTGTCCTTGACTACTTAGCAACAACTCAAAACATCAGCACCTTATCAACATTTTCTCATCCCAAATCCAAAACATAGCCTCACGCTAGCTTCTGTGAAGAAAATTAACTCTATCCTGGCTGAAACCAGGACAGCAAAGAAACAGAAGTTTACCAAGGCTTGTTATTTTTTTTTCTCTCTGCAGATGTATCCTTTCTTCCCCCTTTCTTCTTCTGTACAAATCGTGTTTTAGTTCTTACAGAATAGAACTGGAATGACATGATAATATGCCAGTACCATGTATTGCTCTGCCTGACCTATCGGTGTAGTTTGAAGGTGTGTAATGAAAGTAACAGGAATCTGCAGAAAGATAAGAGATTCAAGGTCAAGACTGTTTAGTGCTGCCCAAGAGAACTGAACTCCATCTTTGCTTTGTCACAAGCTTTCTCAATGGCATGAGACAAGCTCCTAAAACAAAGTTTTCTCAGCAAGCCAGTAACTACTCATTCTTTTTTATTTTCTTAAGTATGCCTAAGATCTTAAGGCCTAACTTAGAGGGATTCCTGAACACCTGAATCCACAAACAACTCAACAGGAGCTTTGCTTTTAATCTATGAGGTACCATACAATGCAAAGAAGTTAAAAAGTCTTAAAACGAGCATCTAAAATTAATGGGTACTATATAGCTGACTTTTTTTTTTCCCCCCTCCCAATTTGGTTCTTTTAATACATCTTTTGTGTATATTGTAATAAGCTGGAATATTAAACTAGTGGTGTAGAGTTATTGTTAAAATATATGAAAACATACAGCATCACAAATAAGAGCTTGTTTCTGTATCAGCCTTACTGTATTTGAACACCCGTTTATCAGTGTTTTGGAAGCCAGGTATATGATACAAAAAATAACGACTGGGGGGGGGTGTCTGTTTCTGAATATGTTCCACCCTGAAATTTTCAGACAGTGTTGGATATAGAAGGGCAGTGAGGCATGCATTCATATATTTCTAGAGTTTATATATTTCAGCTTACTAGATTACTGTGAATTGCTTAAAAGCTTAGGCTTCGCTATATTTCACTATATTTGTATGACAAAATCTGTCTTGTATATTCATTTAGTTTAAGATGCATGTTCTTTTAGTTTCAAAAGATGGTATATTTCAAGTAATTATTGGATAAAATAGGATAAAATAGGATTATTAACTGAATTTTGCAAATGTCATGGGGTTCTGGTGTTTCTAGGAGTATACAAGTAATGATAAAATAAACGGAGCTGCCTATGTCAGTGACAGTAGTTGCCATAGTAATTAATGCCCTTTAAAGAAGGGCCTGTATCTTTGCGTGTGGGTGTGCATCTATGTGTAATGTGTGTGGGATACTACAACTGAAGCTTGAATATTTCAAGAGATCATATTTTGAACAAACAATGCTTTAAAGAAAAATCCAGGTTCTCTTTCCTATTGTATTAAACACTTCTGTTTCGAATGTATTTTCATGCTGATCTTGGAAATTTTATACAAGAGCTTACCTTTAACATAAAGACTGGTTTATGTAATTAAAAGAGAGAATATGTAATTACTTCTCTTTCTGAAGAAAGCTTAACCAAATTCTACATGAATTTGAACTTTTAACTGGTTATAGAATTGCTTACAAGCAATGGGTGAACGATTTTTTTTTAATAAGGAACTTCTAAAGCATCTGCTTGGTTAAATTCTCAAAAATTGCTAGAGGAAATTTAATATATGTAAATACATGCATGGACTCTAAGCTTGTCAGATGCTGCTGGGCACCACAGACCACTTGTCAGTTTTCTGTGTTACTCCTGTTGCTGGCTATGCCAGCCTTTTGACAATTCTCATCCAGTTGACAGTACTTCAGCATAAAATAGCCATAATTAACCTTGTTTAAAAATTATTAGTGTGAGAAAGGAAAGTGTAGAGAGTACAGGTAGAGGGAGAAAATTCAAGTCTATAGAATGTGGTCAGAAGCACAGGAATAGTGGTAACAATTTTTAGAAGAATTTAGAACATTACATGGTGTGCTTTTTCCAAATATGTAGTAAACATAGCTGTTCCAGAGTGTTGTTTTGTTTTAGTTAATATAAGCCCATATTTGCATTTGCAGTTGCAATTCTGCGTTCCTCTTTGTCCTTGATTAATTTTTTTAAAATTAGAAAGGGCAAGAAAACAGCAAGATGAGCAAGAATCTTCTTAGAGCGAGAGAGAGTAAAAAGTGGTTCTAAAAAGACATAGAATTTAGCCGTAGCTTATTTGAAACATTAGTAACCAAAGAAAATAATTGTTTACTCTTATATATATCTTATATTTATACTAGTTTTGCAGGGTTATATCAGTGTTCTCACATTTGACAAAGTGACTTGCTGGAGATGGGAATATTGTCTATGCTTGGTATAATAATGGTATAATAATATGCTTGTGGAATAATTTTAAATTAAAAAAAAGGATTTTTTTTTTCAAGATGGAACACATCTAGAGGAAATACCAAATATGGTTGGTATGGTACCAACCATACCAGATAATGGAGATGGTTGTTTCATCTCAGATTTTAAAATTCACGCCGTTTTGAATGCTGTGTGTGTGACTTCTCAAGTAGCAAAGTGTAGTACATTTAGATTGGAGAGGCATAGTGATGGAGGTGTTTTGGAAACTAAATTTGATGGAATAGGTGTGCTTTTCTGTACAGGAAGGTGTCAAAGTTCTCATAATGGAAGAGAGATGATGACATGGTGACTGAATCAAGAAAGCTTGTGATCAGCAAAGAATGGTCATCTAGTAACTTCTGTGTGTGAGGGTCTCCATATAATCTTGGACTTAAATGTCTTAGGTCTCACCCTGCATTCTTCTGGCTTGTTACTGTGCTTTCTTTTTGGATGGTGGAAGAAATACATTGTGTTTAATCTTCCCTCAAGGCTAACCACACTGTCTTTTTACTTTACCTGGCTTAAGAAAGAAATTACAATGATTATGTAATTTTAAGCATTTGAATAAAAACCCCTAAATATTGGGAGATAAAGGGACTTTCAAAACTGGAATATACTTGGTTTTATGCCTTTTTCAGCTTATATATATTTTGAAGAAATTACACATGGTTTTTGTTGCAGAGATTTTAGTGGGCTTAAAGATAGTAAATACAAGTAGGTTAGTTCTCTGAAGCTT